GCAGTATAATGAGAAAATTATAAAAAATCAGAAAATTTTGTTTGACTAAATGTCATTAAATGACCACTCAGTTTTATTTTTCCAGTAGTGACTGTGTTTTTATGGTGACTTTTCTGTGGCTGTGCTGTGTTTGTAGACACAGAGTGAGAAGCTGCTGACCTGGAGTCTGGCTGTCAGAGACTTCCACATGCTGGTCAACCTGGTAAAGGTGTGTTGACCAATTATTAGCATTTAAAATTGTAAATTTGTCAGTTGTTTTTTATTTATTTATCATTATTTTCATGCCTATATTCTAACAGGTGTTTGACTCCCGGCCTGTGCTGAACGTGTGTTTGAAGGTGATTTGGCTTCACGGCATTATTTCAGCATCAGTGGCAATAGTTATATCTATGATATGTAACCTGTGATTGTGATGTCGTTATGATGACTAGTATGGACGCTTCTTCTTGGAGTCATTTCTAAAATTGGGAATGCCGCTACTGGACTACAGTTTCAAGAAACACAAGGTACAAAACAATTTATTTCCGTCGACAATCATCTGAAATATTTGTATTTTTTCCCCTCCTTATATTTCAATGTGTGCTCTGCCATTTTAAGTATACTTTAAATATACGTACATTGTGTTGGTCCGTATCTAAGGAGGATGTCCAGAACCTACTGAAGACCATCCAGCTCAGCACCAGGCAGCTCCATCACATGTGTGGACACTCGAAGGTGATTCATCTGTGATCCCTGTGGAGGAGAAACAGAGTCAGGCACTAAACGTCGTTTGTTAATACCACATGTCATGTGTTGCCGTGCAGATTAAACAAGACACAAGTCTGACCAATCACGTGCCGGCCTTGAAGAAGAGCCTGGAGCTGTTTGTGTACAGAGTAAAGGCCACGCTCACACTGAATAACTGCCAGGAGGCCTTTTGGATCGGAAACCTGAAAAACCGCAACCTGAAGGTACGACATTGAACTTCAGTGATTGTGTCTCTGGACGTTTGAATAATTGACCAATGAATGATGGTTAATATCGCAGGGTGAAGTGATTCTGTCTCAGAGGTCAGAAGACAGTGACGGTGATGGTGACGGTGACGATACTGAAGGTCAGGGAGAACAACAATCACTGCTGCAACAGGCGGAGTCAGAGGATGAGGTATCGTATAGTTGATAATAGTTTCTGTACACTGTTTTTATGATGTCTACATGAATATTTATTAATGTATATATATTTTTTACTTATTTCTCCAGGCCCAGAACAGTGACTCCGGGGGCGGCGAGGAGAGCAAGGAAAATGCAGACATCGTTGACATCACAGACGACTCTGAATAATTTATACCTGTAAATAACGGTTCACAAGTGGATTAAAAAATTATGCTCATTTCATCCAAATTTCATTTATTGAATTTTTACATAATTTTCAGATTGGTGTGTTTTCAGCTTGTAAATGTTGGAAAAGAACATTAAATTGTACTCTGATGTTTCAGTCTCCGGGTCATAAGTCGAAGCTGTCATTCATTGGAACAGTATAATCTTCAGAGTAAGGGTTTATTTTTTACTCCATAAATAGAAGCTGTAAAAGAGCATTTTAGACACAAGCTTGTTATGAACTCCTCCATTTTGATAATGACAAAAATGATTGCTTTGAATTCAGGGTGACTTAAACTCTGTAGATGTGTGTAATAAAAAAGTGGGTTTTGTTCTTCACTTACTGTGCTATAATTATGAAGAGAATCATTTTAAAAACTATAATTTTTCATCAGTCGATGTTTTATTTATTTTTTTCACAAAAAAGTGAGGCTTAGGGGTCAGAACACAGCACTTCTGCTCAATATTTTCTAAAAGTGAACATATTTTATAAGAATC